TAAGCAGAGGAGCTGTGGTATTCAGAGGAGAAAACAAGCTTCCTTCTGCACAAGAGTGGGAGGAGAGACAGGTGGAGGAAGTTTTGGCCAGTTCTGCCCTGTAGTTTGTGGCTTCCCTAAGACCAAAGTTTCTTAGGTGACTCTGCCATCAGTAACTTCCCAGTCAAGTGGGCTGAGGTTTTCTCAGAGATTTAAATCATAAATGTCCGGACTGTTCTCATTGTGTTAAATAGCAAGCAGAGGCCAGTGTTCAGTTACAGGTGTCCCGTCTTGCTTTGGCTGAGACCTGCCACAGGTAGGAAAGAACAGGATTGGCAATGGTTTCAGTTACTTGATTAATTTTTCTTGCTAGAGCATGATGTTCTATTTTCCTTGCCCAGACAATCTCATTACTCAGAAACTTTGAGAAAACATGTTATTAAGCAGCTGTGAAATGTGTTTCTTTTATGCAGGGCAGACAGGAAAGGCAGTCGAAGCCCTCTTTCCCGACCAATTGGCTCATGGATGCTGATGAAAGAGATTGGTCAGTTTTCTACACTGCTTTTTCTAATTCTTAATAATTTTTTTCTAGTTCTTACTGTTTTTTGAATTTGAAAATAAATGTTTTCTTTTTAACATCACACATTGAGTTCTCAGTGATGATTTCCCTACTGCTTCATGGATAGGTCTCTACTCAGCCACTTAATTGTGAATGACTTTGTTTAATAGCTTGATAAGTTATTCATGACATTTTTAGCAAACCTTCTGTAGTCTGGGTGGGAATACTTTTCTTTTTCTAGTGTGTTAGTTTTTGGCAGTTTAAAATTAATTTTTTCTGTATAGTTGATCACAGACAATGTTTTAAAGCTATCTAATCTCCTTTAAGCCAAAGTAAAACATGTATTTGTATTTCCAAATAAAGTCCTTCAATCAGTTCTTTATTTTTCAGGCATTATAACTTGAGGGGTGGAGAACTGAGTCAGCAAGTGATATCTAAAATGTGTAGATAATAGTTTTACTGTTAATATTGAAAGAATCTGACTTTGCTATTTTGTTACCTCTATGGCTTAGTTCAAGAGGACCGTAATTTTTAATGGAAAAAGATTGTTGAAGGCTTTAAATACTTTTCAAACTTCAAGGATATAGTGGGTGGAAATACATTTGGGCTTTGAGGATAATCTAAAAGGTTTAAACAACATAGCTTCTTTTCTTTTAATTTATTAATTTGGCTGCATCGGGTCTTAGTTGCGGGTCATGGAGATCTTTGTTGTGGCATGTGGGATCTTTCATTGCAGCATGCGGGCTTCTCTCTAGTTGTGGCGTGTGGGCTCCGGAGCACGCAGGCTCAGTAGTTGTGGAGCGTAGGCTTAGTTGCCCCGTGGCACGTGGGATCTTAGTTCCCTGACCAGGGATCGAACCTGCATCCCCTCCATTGGAAGGCAGATTCTTAACCACTGGACTACCAGGGAAGTCCTATAAACATAACTTCTTATACATTGTTTTTTTAGACAGGATAAGCATTTGCTTTTATGGTATTATTGTCTATGTTTAGGCTGATAGGAATTTTCATAGTGATTCTGAAAAAAAGTATAGAGTTATTCATATCATTAAAGGAATAATGATAATGTTCAAAATTATAATAATCAATTACTCATTGCAAACTTCTCCTCTTGTCCCCTCAGTTGGGTTGATAACACCACCAGTACCTATCCCCCAGTCACCATGACATAATCTGCCCCTTTATGCCCCAAGCCTACAACTTCACCTTTGTATGTTGAATTCTTTGCCCATGATGCTAGTTTTGAATTCCATATTACTTTGCCAATTGTAGCATCCTCCTTCCTATCTATGCTCTATTCTTCTGTTGGTCCTTCTCTCTTTACCAACCACCCTGTAAACTACTTTGTTGAAAATCTTCCTAATGCTCAAACCATCATAAGGCCACTCCCATAGATAGCAATTGTAACTGATGCCATGCAGCCATCTCTAGTTAATTCCATTTGACAAACGTTTGTTAGCTGAGTGTCTGTCATATGCCAGGTACTATGCTGGAATTTGGGGAATCCTTGGCTATAGAAAGCTTAGTCTAAAGAAGAAGATGTTAAAAGTAGACCACAATATTGCAGTAGGGCATATTCAAGGCTATAAGAGAAGGAAGAAAAAAGAGACAACTCAATTGGCTGCAGTCAGGGAAGGTTTCACAGAATCAGTCACAGCAGGGATGATCTTGAAGATGAGTAACTGAATACCCACACTCCTTTGCCTGCCATTCAAAGTTTTTCCTAGAACTGACCTCATCCTTTTTATTATCATTCTCTATTAGTGATGGTAATAATTATAAAGACTATAGGACTATTTTTAGTAATTAAAAATTTTAATAATCATAAAGACTAGAGGACTATAAAAGGTGATAGGGGGCTTCCCTGGTGGCGCAGTGGTTGAGAGTCCGCCTGCCGATGCAGGGGACGCGGGTTCGTGCCCTGGTCCGAGAAGATCCCACATGCCGCGGAGCGGCTGGGCCCGTGAGCCATGGCCGCTGAGCCTGCGCATCCGGAGCCTGTGCTCCGCAACGGGAGAGGCCACAGCACTGAGAGGCCCGCGTACCGCAAAAAAAAAAAAAAGCGTGATAGGACTGTTCTGAAACAGTTACAAATTATTGAGCAATTACTTGGCCAAGATCTTTACATGTATTACCTTATTTAACCCTAACAAATCCACTTTCGAGATGAACAACTAGAGGCACAGAACAGTAAAGTACCTCCCAAGGCCACCCCAGCTAGTCAGTGGTAGAGCTAAGCCTCAACCCAGTTATTTGAGGCTTGTAAACCCTGCTTTGACCAGCATCCTCTGCTGAGCTTTGCTCCTGTCCTGTGCTTCAGGAAGTGACTGTGGCCCAGGCTCTGCTGACCTTCAGTGGCCATGTGATCTTGTAGACAGAAAAGGAGCTTGGGAATCAGAAAACACAGGTTGGAATTGCTATGAACATCTTTAGGCAATTTACCTAAGTCTTCTGAAACTCAATTTCTGCATGTGTGAAAGAATAAGAATAATTATGCTTGCTTCTCAGAGACATTGTAAAGATCAAATGAGATGATGTATAGGAAAACACCTTATAAAATATTCAACTTAGGTTCTTGTTACTGTTATTATTGCTAGTACTACTTACTACTATGACAGTAAAATGTGAGTTAGTAATAGTCACCAAAAAAGATTGCAACCATTATCCACAAATAATTAAGGATTTTTAGCTCCTAGAAATTATTTTATTGATTCATTCCAGACTAGCAGCTATTCAATGACAACTGTGCTTTGCTCATAAACGTTTGGCTGCCAGATGTTGCCTATGTTATGCGTATAAGTATTCTTCCTTTTTTCAGACACAGATGGATTTGTGGGTGTTACTTGTACTCTTAGTTAAAAAATAAAAGCCTATGTAGGAATAAGTGATAAATATGCCATTTACATCTCATTACTTTAACCCTCGGTGTGTATTCAAATGAAAGAATATATCAAGAGCTGATACTCTAATCAATCAAGCTATTGGCACCTCTAAAAAATTAACTGTGGGTGTCGATGTAACTAGATTTAAAGGTACTGCAAAATGTTTTCTCCAGCCACAAAATGATAGGATCATGACACAGTACAGGAGACAAGTTGTTAATATCTGTATTGCAACCTAATCATTTCACATTATAGCATAGGAAGGGTGGTTCCTCTGACGTTTAAGAGGTTTTGTAGATGATGAATTTGATTTCTGGTTGTAATGAATCTTTATAGAATCTTATAGGGTACCTAGGAAACTGATTTTTTCAAAGATGCCAGATCTGAAATGATGAGAGATATCCAAACAAGTGTATTTTTAAGCAAAACTGAGTTGGATGTGTAAATTATACGCTGAAGTACATGGGAGCAGACACGGATTCAGGACGTAGAGGAAAAACAAAGCGTTGGTTTAATTTCTTCCAGTGTTCCTTAGAGTCCTTGATAAGTGAAGTTTGATAACTACTCAAAATCATTTTATCAACTCTTCAGGGCAATTGATTTATGATAAGATAGAAAAAAGACCTTCCTGTTAATTTCTCTTGACTTAATCAATTAAATATATTAGATACTCTACTTAAATTTTTCTTGTGGTGGTGTTGGTTTGCTAAGGTGGATCTCTGGGGCAATTGATGAAAAGTAGCTTCCTGCTAAGCCAGGATAATGAATATTGACATTCTTGGCTTTTACAGCCAATAGAAATCACACTTCCAAGTCTCCATTTCCAAGGGGCTTACTCAATAAATGACTTCCCCAATCATCTGCGCTGTTGAGACAAACTCTCACAAAGATTGGAGTGAATAAAATTTAAAAACTGTGAATTAACATCAGCGTCTATAAGAACAAATATTGAGGTTAGAAGTTTGAATCTCCAGGACAGAATGGCAGGGTGAGGATGAGCCTGGGAGTCACGAAATGTAAGCAGGACACTCAGGAGTCATTAACCTGAAATCTCTTCCCCCTGCTGTGTCCACTGCATTAGAGTCAAGGAACGTTACCACATTCAGTGTGGCCAGAGCTCCAGATAAAGATACTAATTGAAAGAGGAACTTTTCCAGCACCTTTTCACTTTCCTCTATACGCCCCCCCTCCCACCAACCTTTATCTTAGTTTAACAGAGAAAACAAACAAAAAAACCCTTAAGCCCTGATAGCAGGAAGAGGAAGCTGTTTATCTTTTTTCCTGTGCCTCTTATGTAAATGTTATCCTTTGCTAATACACATCTTTAAAAAATGAGAAGGAAAAATCCCCTTTAAAACACTTAAAAAATAAAATGACACTTTCCCAAGGAATATTATATGTTTCAATCTCCAGGCTTTGAAGATTGGAGATCTTATGGGGCATTATTTTTACAAAGGTCTTTAAATAACTCCTCTCTAAAAAGCTGTCTCTCCTTGACAGTTCTAGTTTACCAATCCATGATTACTTGTCATACCTTGTTTTCAGTGTTCACGTGTAAAATGATTTTTTCCTTCTTACAGCTTTCATCTGAAAAGATTTCCTCTTTATGATGAGGTTCTGCCCACACTTCCAATCTTCTAGGAGCTTGTAGAATTGTGGAACTGAAGAGCTGTGGTGGATCTTGGAATATATCACCTTTCCCAAGGCTCATATATCCCAGGTAAGGAAACTGAAGTTCAAACTTCAAGTGAGTTCCCTCAACTTACTTTTACCTTTTGAGTGATTGTGCCAAGTTTAGAACTCAGGTTCACTGCCATGCTCTTGGCTACCACAGAGCTGACCGGCTCTTTTTCTAAATTCAGAAAATTAAAAAAGCAATCCCTTGACAGCTTGCTGTAGTTGTAGTTCACAAATGTCTACTTTTCCTCAATTGTTTTGAAAACCCACTGTGACCAGATGAAAAGAGTTTCCCTTTATGAAACACTGTGGCATATTAGGACGTTGGCATTTTCTTTTTACATCTTGCCGTCCTGCCCCATTCACTATGAAGTGCACTTCTGTTTAGTAGGAAGTGTAGCCATTTTATCCATTTTTTCCCCTTTCTACCTGGGTTGAGGACTTGGTATTTGAAATAATGTTCTGCGTCAGTGCCAGCCTTGTAGGAGAACCCCACAACCTCAGCCATCCTTAGGGAGTAGGAGATCGTGAGCTTATTACAGACCCGCTAAGCCACTTGTGGTCATCTGAATGGACTCGCCTGAGATTACTGCCTTATCAACACAGGATTTTAGAATTTCAATGGAGATAATTTTGTCAACTCTTTCCTTTGGCAGACAAAGAATCAATGGTTGTCTTTGTCAGGGCTTCTGATTGGTTTCAGTTGATAGAAGTCTAGATCTAATCTGAGTCTGTATCTAAATCAAACTGGCTAAAACTTGAAAAAGAGAATTTGAGAAATGTATTGGCTCATGTAAGTCTAGATGATAGATTGATAGATTCAGGGGCTCAAATGATGTCATTGGTCTCCTTTTCTCTCTGTCCTCTTCCCTTTCCTCACCTCCCCTTTCCTCCCTTTCCTTTTCTTTCTTTCCCTCTCTGCATATTACCAACCATCTTATGTTCAGCTTTACTCTCTGTTGGTCTTGTTTAATTTGGAAAATGGCTCATATTGACCCCATCTGGCCTTGTGCCCTTAGGTACAGAGCATGAACATTTGGTGCACTTGGGTTCCCTACCCTACCTCCTTGAAGCTGCAGGGAGAGTTAGAGTAGCTCAAGGACTGCAGGGGGGTGAGGGAGAGGAATTATTACTGAACTAGGGGGATGGATGCTTGGAAGAAACTAATAATAATAATAATTTAAAAAATAATAACATCAATATTTAACAGTTATAGAAGTCTCATTTCAATATGCCAGGAACTTTTCTAAGTGTTTAAGAGCTAATAACTTATTTAATTCTCAAAACAGTGTGAAGTAGGTATAAATATGACTTTCATTTACAGATGAAGAAGCTTAATCACAAGAGACATTAGTTGTCTACCATTATGATTTAGAAGCCAAGTGCATGTTTTTTTCCCTGCAAGTGTATCTTAAAGCCCAATAACCTTTCAAATAACATTCATTAAACCATTATTTGTTCACTACTAACTTTTCCAGATATGGGGCAGTGAGAAAATACTAACCTTATCTTCATGGCATGTGTAATCTAAGGGTGGAGTCAAAGACACCTTATATCTAAACACATATCCTATATCTAAATAATGACCATATAATTTGTAGAAATAAGTGCTATAATGCAATTATGCAAGGTGAAGGATTGTGATATGGAGATAGCTAATGTTTTTTGGTTGTTCAAATATAAAAAGAGATGTTAGTGAGCTGTCTTAACATGGCTTTATCACAAGGAAAATTAGTTTGAATGATAATAATTGTTCAGCAAAGAAGACTCAGTTGTCCCAAACATTAGAACTCTTTTCTCCCAGGTGAATTGGATCTTGCCAAAGCTGGACAGGGGAGCTGAGTGAGAGGTGGAAATTCTTAAAGAATGTGTGTCTGGAATAAATGGATAACAAGTAATTCTGAAGTTGATGGAAAAAAACCCATTTGGACTAGTTCTTATTTTGATTTTTTTTCTGATTTAAAACAAACACACTTAAAACACCAATAAGGAAAACAGTAAGATTTGCTCATCATAAACTATGAATGATGTTTCTTTGTTTCAGATTGGTAAAGGTATATGAGAATATTTTCTTTAATTTTAAGCTAGAATATTCCTAGCATCAAATTTGAGATTTAACTCCTGCTTCTTCAAGGGCTTCATTTGAAACCTTAATATTAGCCTTTTTTCAATTAAAACACTTGAAGTCTTTGGTTCTAATGAGATCCATAACCTTAGATGCTTCTATTTTTTTTTTTCACCCATTGGCCACTTCACCTTTTCCACTATTCAAAAAAAAAGTTAATTTGTATTAACAGCCAATTTCACAAGAGGTTGATTATTCAAAAATGGGCTTTGATTCTAACCAGAAAACTTATAGGGTGCTACTTAAAAGATACCTGGAGATTAACAAAGTATTAGAAAGCAAGAATACCAATTGAATATCTGAAAATCAAATGCATATTGAAAAATCTTTCAGAGGATGGAAAACCCAGCTTATCCATTTTTTAAGTCTTTATCAACGTGTCTGAATAATGCCTCCAATGCACAGCTTACCCCGCTACACAGACATGGTTTTCTAGATGCAGAGAGGGCCATTAGATATGTCAGAGACTAGAGACTACTTCACATTTCTTGGAAAAACTGACTTGGAAGGTCATCAAAGGCTAATGCACATGGGCAATTATATTGGGAGGTTTACAAATCACTAGCAGGTATGTTATAACCAGAAACAAAAAGTGAATAAATTAAAGGATTTGGGGTCTGCTAGATCTTTAGTCATGACTTCCCGAACTTTTCTTTTTTCATAAGTGATCACTGTGTGTGTGTGTGTGTGTGTGTGTGTGTGTGTGTGTGTGTGTGTGTGTGTGT